GTATATCCATTTTTCACCCAATCCAAGGATCTACATTCTCAAAACATGAGGTTCAACCTTTTAACAGGGGTGTCTGGGTGGGTTTGGTTGTTATGTGTAACCCCAATTTTAATTAGTAGATTGGGTCATGGTTTACCGGTAAGGGGTTTAACCTTAGGATCGATATCTCAAATAGTAAGACTAATCCTTGTTGTAGATACTTGGATTGGTTGTTTAATATGGTCCATTGACATTAATAGAATATTAGATTTGGGATGTTCTCTATAATTGAATGGTCTAATTTACTACGTATGTAATTCAAAATAACCAATAAAAAATAAATGATATCTCCATTAATAAATTAACTTTAAATAAAGCAGGCATTGATATTTTAAAACAAATGCCAATAAAGTTTTAATATGATAGATATATTATAGTGATAAAACATTTGATACCTTATTTTTGATTATTCTCTGCTGGTGTTCTTGAAGTTCTACTGTCATTGGTTGTTGCTTAAAATCAACGTAACATCCATTTTCATTTCTTGGTCTGTTGCTACTTGTTTGGGCGAGGAATTTTTATAAAGATATTAAAGTAATTTTGAAGAATTAACTCACGAAAATTAAACCCGGGGCAAATCATATGATCAATGGATACTTGAATGTTACTGGACAATTTTTATTTGTAATGTTTTTTGCAAAATTTTTTCAACCCAGTTTTTAACTGGAAAAATCGATGACTTTAACCGTGCTTAGACATTGGTCTAATACTAAAAAATTTAGTTTTGACACTAATGACCTAAATGATTTAATTTATAGCACACAAGCCTGAAAAAGGTTATGCATCCAAATTTCTGGAAATTTTGACAGGTTTGACAACAAAAATCGTCCTGGAAAAATGCTAATAAGCTCAAATTGGTTTATATATGAAAATCAATTTAAGACCTACAAATGGTAAAAAAATAAAAAGACTAGGCAAAAGAAAAAATAACATTAATAATTTTTGAACAACAAAAATATATAGAAGCACCACCGCCAATCCTCTCTATATTGTTCAGGCATCACTTCGAAATACCCAAAATCAATAAACTTATAATTTTTGCTGATAGTATTTTATTATATTTTTTTTTTGGGTACATTTATAATAGTCACGTGTTGCATTTTTTTAAAGAAAATATTTTTTCCTAATTTGTTTACGTATATAGTACGCTTTGAAAAACAAAAAAAACAAGCCAAATTTATATTAATCTTATTAATGTTCAAGAAAAGTAGGCTGTGGCACTTTTATATATATATATATTACCTGATAAGAATTATTACTTGCTTTTGAAATTTGTTTTTTTTTTGTACAACTTTTTTTTTTTTTTTAAACTTTTTTAATTGATATATACTGCGGCTTCATTTTCATTATCATTCATTTTTTTATTACGCGAATGTAAAATAGAAATATGGCTGATAGTAATATAAATATAAAAAGAAAACGTACATCTGAAGTTATTGTAGATGCGCCAAATAATTTAGATTTAGAAGCTTATATTGCAAACTATACAGGTTAGAATTGAATTCATAAATCAATAATTTGAAGGATTTAAAAATATATATAACAAAATAATAAAAATATGAAAAAAAATCAATTTTTAAAAATTTGCGTAAAAAAAAAAAAAAAAAAAATCTTTTAATATCAAATTATTTTCTCCGTCTCATTTACGAATATATTGGTATATTATATTACCTTGTCACATTGTTTTATTTAAACAAAATGATATGAAAGGAACGTAGGACAGATACAGTCCAATTAATTGAATCAAAAGTCGAAGCTATGAGCAAAACGTAATTTACGTGAATATTTGATTGTTATTTGTAATATTTAATTTAAGCAATGTTGAAGATGATGATGATGGTGATGGTGATGCCGTAGAAAATTTTTTTATTTGCTTTATATCTTCCTCCTATCTATTATTTCAATACAATTTTTAATTGGACAATTCGGATCAAACAAAGACGTTGAAGAAATTACGCACGATTTGGATCGGGATAAAGATGATAGTGGCAAAAATGTTCGTACAGAATTCAACTGTATTTAATTTTTAGTCACAAAATTTCTTCTCGCTTTTCCTCTTTTTCGAATGCACGCAGATCGAAACAACAACGCAAGATCCTTCCACATCTCCTCACTCTAAAAGTACCGATGATTCGAATGAGGAAGATAATTCAGCTGATTCTGATTCTGATTCTGATTCTGATTCTGATTCTGATTCTGATTCTGATTCTGATTCTGATTCTGATTCTGATTCTTATGGTGATTATTATTATTATTATTATTATTATATGACGTTACGATGGTGATGATGGTATATCGTTTATTAAATCTAAAGAGATATTATAATCACCTACAAGTGATAGAATGGCTTCCTAATAGTAGTAGCAAGTAATTTACATTCTAAATAAGCAATTACGATGTTAATATGATGTCTTCTGTGATCGCATCTTGAACAGATCCAGCTTGCACAAATTCATCTACAATTATTACACTGCGATGATGTTTTGGCTCTTTATGAGCCCCCTCCACAAGAGCAAGGGCAATTTCTCTGGATGTTGATGAAACAATACACATCAAATGAAGATGGCGGTACCATGATTTTACATAGAAGTCAAGCAGATAATGGGGTAATTGAGTTCATCAAAAAGATGATTTTGGTAAAACAGCATGTGACGACAGGAGTGATAATGTATTATTATTCTTATTAGCTGTTAATAGAAAATTCATCTTTAATTAATGTCATATTGATTTTCTATTTGATCGAAGGCAATTTGGGTTTAAAAAATTTGTTCATTCCTCAAATGGATACACTTTTAATGTTAAACATTAAAATTCGAACCTTTTATTAAGAAAAAAAAATCAAAAAATATATTCTTTAATTATTTACCAAGTAAATTCATGAAATAAAATTTTTTTTATGATGATAAAGAAAGAAATTCGTAAAAAAAATTCCCCAAGGAAAAACTAGAATCTCGAATAATCAATAAATGAATCATATTGAGTTTTACCATTATCACCATCTACTTCATAATTGTTGTAATTATTAGTGTTAGCATTATTGATTTGGTTATTATTATTGTCCGTGTTATTATTATTATTATTATTATTTATGTCACGATCAGTTTTATCTTGGTTATTATTACCACCACTTTCATCATCATGGTTAGTATTATCAATACTCTCATTATTATGAGTGCTATTGTCATTGCTGTTGAAAGCCTTTTGTTTAGAAGGATTTGTATTAACGTGAGTTGGAAGTGTTAATAGAGGAAGTAGTGGAGGATTAATCGCAGTGTTAGGGATAGGAAGATTGTTCGAAGATGAAGAATATTGTTGACATAAATTATTTCGTCCATTAAATAAAGAAGAAAATTGATTACTATTATGATGATTATATATATTTGAAATAGTTTGTAAAGAACAAGAAGGAAATAGAGAGTTTTTGACAGTATCATCATCGCTGTTATCAGAGTTATCTTTAGAGATAGCAGAGGAATTTGTCGAATAATTTTGATTATTATTATTATTTTGTTGTAAAATGTTGTGAAAAGGAAATTGATGTCGTGATAATAACTGGCTTGATATATTATTTAATGTGGTAGGATGATAAATTGTTGTAGTTGTAGTTGGAATATTGCGATGATGATGAAGATGATTCTGGTGGGAATGAGTGTTGGGATTATTAATTAATTGTTGAAAATGATTTGACACCCATGCATTATAGAGTAAAGGCGCCAGTGTAGAAAGCTTTACATTATTGTTGATTGTCATGTGGTTTACGACATTTACTCCTCCAACATTACCAGCATTGTTTAAGCTTGAAGTTGTGGAAACCAAATATTCGCTATTTCTATTGCTATTGCTATTGTTATTACTAATATTATTGGCGGAAATAGTAGAAATGAATTCATTTTTATTGTTACAATCAAAATTTCTATCACCAAATTCATTTTCATGATTATTATGATTCCATAAATATGGCGTAATTGTATGATTATTATTATTGCTACTGTTGCTGATTATATGACTCTGAAGGTGATGATGTGGATGATAAAAAATGGACTCATTGTTATTAGGTTGATAATCATTTACATTACCATTATTATTGTCACTATCATTATCATTATCATTTACATTACTATTAACATTAGAGTTAATATTACTATTAATATTTATATTACTGTTGTTAGTATTATTGTTGTTATTGTTGTTATCAATAGCATCACTATTATCACTAATGGTAGCGTTAATGTTGATAAAATTACGTCGTTTTTTGCTAATAACTTTTTTACGAGCAGAGTTTCTAATAATTTTAGGCATTTTTTCACTTTTAATAATATCTTCGCTTGGTTGAATATAACGTAACTCTTCGAATGCTTTTGGTGGCAATAATGATTCTTCGCGACCTAAATAAATGTGTGTGTGTGTAAATAAGTAGTATAGATAAATATTTGCAAAAATTTTATTTAGCAAGAAAAATGAAAAAAATAACCTCGATTATCTTCATAAATAATCATATGTTGATAAGATCCATTGAATTTTATCGAAATAGTTTTTTTTAGTAGACCGTTATTTCTTAGTATAAAAGTTCCTTTGCTACATTGATGAACTTTTAGACCTTCAGCTTCGATACGAGCTTGTAAAACTTCATCGATTGGTTCGTGTCTTTTAATATTCCTATCACGTGTTGATAATTCTCGATACACCAAGAAATCTTTTATAATACGACTTGGTGACCATAATCTAAATTTACAAATTGACGGACGAATTAACTAAATTATAATCATTTCCAAAAAAAAATAGTAATAATTTACCTTCCATCTGTCCATCTTTTAATCCCGGATTCTTTCTCGTCAAAAACATAACTATGCGCGAATTTCAAATTAACATCATTTTCATTATTAATATTGACAACATTATTTATTACATGCAATACTTACACTTTCCCACCACATAACTCTTCTTTTTCTTTTTCTAATAAACGACGAGCAGTTCTTTGAATAACTCCTTGATGACATGCTTCTATTAATATTTACATAATTATTAGAGAATATTATATCATCAGCATCAAAAACATTTATTATCTCAGTAACAAAGACAATATTACCAAAGATTATTAACGCATCGTTAATAGTTTTGATTCTTCCTAATGTTAATAATAAAAAACATCATCATTATATATAAATAGAATAGAATAATAAGGTTTATAATTGTATATAATTTTTTAAAGTTTTCTTACCGTTAAAAGTTTCCATTTTTTCTAACTATTTTTTACTATTTAGTTTAATAATAAACTTTTTCTCAAAATTTAAAAACTAGAAAAAAAATTTAATTTCTTATAGTCTGTTTTTTTTTTTCTCAGCTCTTTTTAAATTAAATTTTGTCATATTAATAATAAGATCAGATATTAATTTGAAAATTTAATCTCAAATATTATTATCGCAAAAAAAAAAGAAATATATTGCGTAAATACAAATACAAATAATCATCATAATTGATGTAGTATTTTTAAATATGATATTTTACTATGAGGTAAAGCTTTATTAATCGTGAGTTATCTCTGGTAATAATAATTATGATTGTAGCAAAGACATTTTCGTTATCTTGTCATCATTTTTATAATTTATTTGACTAGCGAAAATAAAATATCATTATTTTTCATTAAATCAAACTTTTGATACGTGTTGCTATCTATCTATCTATCTATCCAATATAATACGGTAATTAATTTTTATCATGATGTAATGTGTGTAAAATCCATAACCTCCCACTACACAATAACTTATAATTGCATAATTTATAATAGTAAATTAATCAAATTCACATCAAGAGAATTAATTATTGATAAAAATAAAATGATTAATTATCACCAAGATTTAATCGCGTATTCACGTGATTTTAGCAAATTATCAGAAAGATTAAAATTTTGAACCAAAAATTTTACTAACGAATACTAACGGATGCTCATTTTAATTTATCATTTTTAATAATGCAAATTTCGTAGATAATCGATCATAGATTCTGTATCCAAACATCTTGAACATATTCATTGTTTCGTCAGCCCGAAAGTCGGGTCAAAGCACGGGTCCCGATTTGATGCAGACATAATGACCAGGTAATTTGGTCATAAATTTTATGACCCGATGACATGAACTTGGGTCACTTTGACCATAATTGAAATTTTATCTTCTTGCGCATCTTTTTCATATATCTGCCTTCAATATAATTATAATTACCATTTATTATTTTATCAATTTCCGATTTGAATGTTTTTTAATCAATATTAATATTACCATTTTAGGCGATTTACGTTTAGCAAAAATCAAAAATAATAAATTCAACATGGTAAAGTTGAAGGAGCCAATTTCAATAAATTTAATTTATTAATTACTATTTAATTTGGATAATAGTCACCTTGTAGTTCCTGATAAAAATCAATTTCAACGCATTCTTCGTTTATTAAATAGCAATGTTGAGTAGGCATTAATGATATTATTACTATCACCATCAGAATAGATGTGTTTTTTAATTGTCTGTCAATAATACATTTTTTTTTTTAGTGGTAAGACAAAGGTAATGTTTGCCTTAACTGCTATCAAGGGTGTTGGTCGTCGTTATTCTAATTTGGTTTGTAAAAAAGCTGATGTTGATCTAAATAAAAGGTTTTTATTGTCTTGATGACTTCAATTAAAAATTTTTTAATCATATTGATTAATTTAAAATTAAAATATTCTTCAGAGCTGGTGAGTTAACCAATGAAGAATTAGAACGTATTGTGACCATTATTCAAAATCCTACACAATACAAAATTCCTGATTGGTTTCTCAACAGACAAAAAGATATATTTGATAGAAAAAAATCACAATTGTTGCTAATGGATTTGAAAGTAAACTTCGTGAGGATTTAGAATGATTAAAAAAGATTCGTGCTCACCGTGGTTTAAGGCATTATTGAGGTTTACGTGTACGTGGTCAGCATACAAAAACTAGTAAAAAAAAAATTATCTAGACAGCGTGCAAATTATTTTTGTTTTTTTTTGTTTATGGTAATTTTGGAATAATACTTGCATGTAGAGAGTTTATATACATCTGATAAAATATTTTGTATTCAAAACTTTTACATAATAATAATATAATACATTACACTCATCTATTTTTCCTTAATCTAATTTAATAGGTTGAGTATTTATTACTATCAGGTACATTGAGAAAATCAAATTTAATAATTCGTATATATATGTTATTAATTAAAACTTCTAAAAAAAATAAAATAAAATATATTTCTTAATTTTTAATATTTGATTTTGGTACAATGTGAAAAACTTCAAATTCTTCAATTATAAATTGATCTGGACTAGATCTAATACTTTTGTTATAATTAATTTGTTTACATCCACAAGGTTGTCCAATTTCAAAATGACCTTTTGGGAATAAATCACCTTTACCAAACACTGGTGAACAATAAACATTACAATATATGGCTTCTTTTGGATTTATAACTCTACTAACTATATCCTTATTTTCAATATTTTCAATATTTTCGTTATTTTCGTTATTTTCGTTATTTTCGTTATTTTCGCTAATTTCATTACTTTCGTTATTATCACCACCTTTTTCGCTAATTTCATTATTATCACCTTTTCCAGTTAATGAAAAAACAAAACAATCCTTAAGCGTTTCAATAGTATTGTAATTTGCACATGATAACGAACGTTTACTCCAACTCAATGGATTATAGCCACCAAATAATTGTGTGGAATTTGCTGGTTTAATAATTACAACACATCTATTCTGTGAAAAAGTGTTTTGATAAAATTTTTGATCTCTACTGCCTCTAACAATCAGGTTGAAATCATATGGTATATTACGTGCATCATAAAATTCTTTGGATTTAAGATCTAACCCATCAATCCAACTTGCAATTTTTGCAGCTTGTTTAGGAGTAATGAGTACCGATGGTATTCTAGTTGTAGACTTCGTATAAGTTGGTGAAGGCACTATCGTATCATCTTTTACTTCATATAATTCATCAGGTATTATCTTTTTAAAATCATCAACTTGTTTACTAAAATCTTCTTTTTTAATTTGGCACCAACGAATATAAGGTAATATTGGGCCTATAACCTTTTGAAATTCATCAAAGTCTTGATCATTCCATTTTTTAAGATCTGTATCAAGTTTTCTATCAAGTTTATTCAAACACCATTGAACTACATGTCTCCAGATTTCCATCTCACTCATCGACAGATCATCTCGTTGAAGCAACCAAACCAACGTATCAAATTCTAAATCAACATAATCAACTGATTTTAATAACAAATCAGGTTCCTGAAATAAAGCTTCTCCAATCATATCTGATAATAGTGCACAAGTTGGATATTTTTGACTTGCATTATAAATTAATACAGATTTTTGGTTCATCCAGATGTGTTTACGATCAATCAAAACATTTTGTAAAACATCTACTAATATATTTAGACAAAGTTCATCGGCTGCACCCAAGACATTAACAATCTCAACTTCATTCAGTTTTTCGATATTAATTTTTGCTGAATAAATATATCTATTTTATAACTTTTATTTAGATCAATAAAAAGGTAATTGTGAAGGCAATGAACAATGTTACAGAATAATAAATATCATACCTTAATACAATGTCAAATGTTAGAGGCGAAATGTTTGGTTTCTTAAATATATACATTCCGTTTTCTTGTTTTGCCCACCTGCTCGATAAGGCATTACGAAAATAGGGTGATCTCATTTTCAAAATATAATAATGAGCTTTAAACTTCTTAATATAAGGCTCTTCTCCTGCCTCAATAATAACATTATGTTCATCATCATTTTCTAATAAATTATTTAAATCTTTTGTTAACTCATCATGAAGTTGTTTGTTTACTTCTGATAGTGCCATTTTTTCGAAATTTACCGAGAAATTAACAGTTAATAACTTGCAACCTTATATAATAAATAATATTAATATTAATAGATAGGACCCTCCCTACAAACTAACTATATAGATAGGTCACTGCCGCAGCTGGGTCAAATCTTGTAAAATTTTACTATTAGGAAAATGGCAATGTTGGTGAAAATTACCAAATTTAGAAAGATTGTCTACAATAAGCCAATCGCAGTGTGGGTCAAACCAAGACAGGAAAACTCTAATGTGTGTCACCACCAAATCAAACAGTCAAACATATAAACTCGAATTGTGATTGTGTGAATCAATTTGATGGTAACATTCAACAATTTATTAATGATGCAATCAGACATACAAGCAGATAAACAGATTATTAAAATTCAAATTGGAATATGAGCATGCTCCCAGAAAATAAACTACATCTTGTAGTGTAATATGAATTGTAATGTCACCTGCAATTAAATTGACATGACACTTTCATTTATTTTTTATCCCAATTGTTTTTACACAAGCCTTTGTAATAAATAATCAAAATAATACCTTCAAACTTTCTCTTTCATGAAAAATCTATTATAATCTGTTAATTTGAAAAAGTATACTTTTATTCAAATTGATGAGTTTTTGTACAAAGAGTTTGTTTTTTGTCTAAATATTTGTTAAACCTTTTTTTTTAATCTTTATAGTGAACAAAATGTCAAGACCATTAGCTAGCACATTACCTTGCTTATTTGCTGAATCTGCTGAAAGAGTCATCAGTTGAATCAATCTTGGAGACAAGTATCAGGGAAGGCAGTAATAGAATTTGCACAACTTTTTACTAAGTAGATATTAATTGTCCACAAAAGTTTACATTCTTATTAAATAATAATATTTCTTATTGAAAAAAAAACTATTTAAATTATATTAACTATTAACAATCAATAAAGAAATTTCAGGAAAATACTTAGCTAAGATGCCTATTCTTTTTAAAATACAGCATTTACTGATGCATACAAAAGTATTCTCACCTTTCTTCATTTCTTGCTTACATTGCACTAATTTACTTTCTAAATATTTCTTATCTAATTTTTAAACCATTCTCTTGTAAGTATATTTATTTAATATATTTTATTGCCTATATTTAATTATACTATAATATTTATATGGGACATGCTTGCAACAAAACCAGGCAAGGTGAACATTAGTGTTACAAAAATTTCAGGGATCAAAATTTAGTAATGTGATTATTAAAATCCTCCATTTCAGCTGGCAAAAATACAATTGATTGAGTTATTCTATTGTTACTTCTTCCTGGACTTGGTAATCCATGAACTCCTGCATAATTTTCTAGAAAATTCTTTACTATTTCTGCAACATTTTATCAATCACCATCTTAGTTTTCCATTGAGGTATCCTTTTAATATTAATGTGAATTCTTGGTAAAAGACCATTGTTTATTAATTGATTTCTAATGTTTTCAAAATAAGTTCTACCAATTCCTAACATATTGAGATAAGTTTCTTGACAAAGAAGTGTATTGTGATCCTAATGATAGAAAGTTCTTTTATTGGATCTAACATATCTGTTGAATATGCATATTTTTTTTTTAAGAAATACAAATAACAACGGATTCAATTTTATTTGTTTGGCTGTCATTGTGTTTCCAGCTTCACTAAATACAGTCAAACCTTGTCACAGCAGATGAATGAAGATTTATTTAAAACCCATTGTGGCAAAATTTACTGATCTTGCCACAATGGATTTTTATGTGCTTTTATATTTTAATGCAAATGTGAAGCAAAAATTTTAAAATCTGTTATGACAAGAATTTAATTATAGTCCACTGTAACAAGGTCACTCGTTTGAAATAGAAGTTACTGAAATGCATAAATATTCTTTAAATATTATTATAATAGAAATAATGTATAATAGTGGATAAAATAACATGTAATATTAAAATTTTTTATTTTTTTATATTTCTGTATAGTAGTACCACAGATTATTCACCAATTATCCGGATAATCCGTAAAATTGAACAGATTATCTGCGGTTTTAATTCAGCAATATTAATAATTCTAATAATTTATGACAAGCAATTCGTTTATATTTATTATAAAGTTAATTCAGTGGGTGAATACATTTAACACAACTTGCATTTTTTTAAAAAAACAAAATTCGTTTAAACAATTCTAAATCTAAACATGATCTTTTAGCAGTCAATAAATTCCCTGCGAGGTAAGTTCATTCTCATTGTCATTACTGTCATCATCGCCATTGTAGTTATATTTGTTATTATCATTATTGTAAGTAACAAGAAAAAAAATTTTAACATGTGGTGGTATATAAAATTTATTTTACAATATGTACGTACGTGTTTTGTGTTTTATTTATTTCTACTAAATAAATACTATATAATTTTGGATTCACAAAATCTATGCGAGTAACATAGAGTTGTTCCCCACTTATTTTACTTACTATTACCCCTAGCTATTACAGTGACTAGTACTAGTGGTTGTATCCGGATAATCCGTTTAAATCTGACGGATGTATTTTTTGAGCATTAACGGATGACAGATTGATTTTTAGAGATAAATGACAGATGAACGGATGATGGATATCGGTGGATTGCATCTCTATTCTGAACCCACAAAACGCCTCGGTTATCAACATAGTTGGAATTCCTCCAATTCGAAAATAATCAAAGTCTTAGAATCAATCAATTCGTCGATTCATCAATTCATTAATTTTTATAGTTACCATCCAAAAAGCGCATCTAACCTGCTGAAATATATATGACTTTTGATCTTACATAAGAAACTTCTGTGGCAGTTATAAAAGACGCAGACTGTATTATATTATTTTAATTAACTGAAGTTTTCCTGTTGCTTATCAAATTTTGCTTCTGAAAGACTTTTAGTTTTACAAAGATTTCTATGCATTGTCATATTAATTGCCTATATCATAATAATAACAATTATAGATATCTATGTGTATTTATATCGAATTTCAACAAGAATTATATTAGATGGTTCACATGCAGAAACGATCCTTTTTAT